AATTTAAAAAAAGGAGTATCGTCTTGAAACTCGGTAGGCGGGTCGGACAGGTCCCCCCGACCACGTTGACGTTCGAATTGTAGATTTTTAACTATTTTCTCCAGGCCTTAGGGGCGATCGTAGTGTCAAAAGCATGACTTGTCACCATGGGCAGGGGTGCCAAAATTTAAAAAAAGGAGTATCGTCTTGAAACTCGGTAGGCGGGTCGGACAGGTCCCCCCGACCACGTTGACGTTCGAATTGTAGATTTTTAACTATTTTCTCCAGGCCTTAGGGGCGATCGTAGTGTCAAAAGCATGACTTGTCACCATGGGCAGGGGTGCCAAAATTTAAAAAAAGGAGTATCGTCTTGAAACTCGGTAGGCGGGTCGGACAGGTCCCCCCGACCACGTTGACGTTCGAATTGTAGATTTTTAACTATTTTCTCCAGGCCTTAGGGGCGATCGTAGTGTCAAAAGCATGACTTGTCACCATGGGCAGGGGTGCCAAAATTTAAAAAAAGGAGTATCGTCTTGAAACTCGGTAGGCGGGTCGGACAGGTCCCCCCGACCACGTTGACGTTCGAATTGTAGATTTTTAACTATTTTCTCCAGGCCTTAGGGGCGATCGTAGTGTCAAAAGCATGACTTGTCACCATGGGCAGGGGTGCCAAAATTTAAAAAAAGGAGTATCGTCTTGAAACTCGGTAGGCGGGTCGGACAGGTCCCCCCGACCACGTTGACGTTCGAATTGTAGATTTTTAACTATTTTCTCCAGGCCTTAGGGGCGATCGTAGTGTCAAAAGCATGACTTGTCACCATGGGCAGGGGTGCCAAAATTTAAAAAAAGGAGTATCGTCTTGAAACTCGGTAGGCGGGTCGGACAGGTCCCCCCGACCACGTTGACGTTCGAAATGTAGATTTTTAACTATTTTCTCCAGGCCTTAGGGGCGATCGTAGTGTCAAAAGCATCACTTGTCACCATGGGCAGGGGTGCCAAAATTTAAAAAAGGAGTATCGTCTTGAAACTCGGTAGGCGGGTCGGACAGGTCCCCCCGACCACGTTGACGTTCGAATTGTAGATTTTTAACTATTTTCTCCAGGCCTTAGGGGCGATCGTAGTGTCAAAAGCATGACTTGTCACCATGGGCAGGGGTGCCAAAATTTATAAAAAAGGAGTATCGTCTTGAAACTCGGTAGGCGGGTCGGACAGGTCCCCCCGACCACGTTGACGTTCGAATTGTAGATTTTTAACTATTTTCTCCAGGCCTTCGGAGCGATCGTAGTGTCAAAAGCATGACTGGTCCGGCTGGGCATGGGTGTAAAAATTTCAAAAAAGGAGTAACATCTTGAAACTCGGCAGGCGGGTCGGCCAGGACCCTCCAACCACGTTGGCACTCAAACTTTGGATTTTTCACTATTTTCTCCAGGCTTTAGGGGCGATCGTAGTGTCAAAGCATAACTGGTCCGGATGGGCATGGATGTCAAAATTTCAAAAAAGGAGTAACATCTTGAAACTCGGCAGGCAGGTCGGCCAGGACCCTCCAACCACGTTGGCACTCAAACTTTGGATTTTTCACTATTTTCTCCAGGCCTTAGGAGCGATCGTAGTGTCAAAGCATGACTGGTCCGGATGGGCATGGATGTCAAAATTTCAAAAAAGGAGTGGCATCTTGAAACTCGGTAGGCGGGTCGGCCAGGACCTTCCAACCACGTTGGCACTCAAACTTTGGATTTTTCACTATTTTCTCCAGGCCTTAGGAGCGATCGTAGTGTCAAAGCATGACTGGTCCGGATGGGCATGGACGTCAAAATTTCAAAAAAGGATTGGCATCTTGAAACTCGGCAGGCGGGTCGGCCAGGACCCTCCAACCACGTTGGCACTCAAACTTTGGATTTTTCACTATTTTCTCCAGGCCTTAGGAGCGATCGTAGTGTCAAAGCATGACTGGTCCGGATGGGCATGGCCGTTAAAATTTCAAAAAAGGAGTGGCATCTTGAAACTCGGCAGGCGTGGGGATTCCAGGTTAGAACAGATCTACAGCAACTTGTGCTGGTCTACACTCTGGGGATTCCAGGTTCGAATCGATCTACAGCAACCTGTGCTGGTCTAGACTGTGGGGATTCCAGGTTAGAACCTATCTACAGAAACCTGTGCTGGTCTAGACCATGAGGATTCCAGGTTAGAATCGATCTACAGCAACCTGTGCTGGTCTAGACCGTGGGAATTCCAGGTTAGAACAGATCTACAGCAACCTGTGCTGGTCTAGACAGTGGGGATTCCAGGTTAGAACCGATCTACAGCAACCTGTGCTGGTCTACACTGTGGGGATTCCAGGTTAGAACCGATCTACAGAAACCTGTGCAGGTCTAGACCGTGGGAATTCCAGGTTAGAATCGATCTACAGCAACCTGTGCTGGTCTAGACCGTGGGAATTCCAGGTTAGAACCCATCTACACCAACTTGTGCTGGTCTACACCGTGGGGATTCCAGGTTAGAACAGATCTGCAGCAACCAATGCTGGTCTACACTGTGGGGATTCCAGGTTAGAACAGATCTACAGCAACCTGTGCTGGTCTAGACCGTGGGGATTCCAGGTTAGAATCGATCTACAGCAACCTGTGCTGGTCTACACTGTGGGGATTCCAGGTTAGAACCGATCTACAGAAACCTGTGCTGGTCTAGACCGTGAGGATTCCAGGTTAGAATCGATCTACAGCAACCTGTGCTGGTCTAGACAGTGGGAATTCCAGGTTAGAACAGATCTACAGAAACCGATGCTGGTCTAGACCGTGGGGATTCCAGGTTAGAACCCATCTACAGCAACCTGTGCTGGTCTACACTGTGGGGATTCCAGGTTAGAACAGATCTACAGCAACCTGTGCTTGTCTACACTGTGGGGATTCCAGGTTCGAATCGATCTACAGCAACCTGTGCTGGTCTAGACTATGGGGATTCCAGGTTAGAATCGATCTACAGAAACCTGTGCTGGTCTAGACCATGAGGATTTCAGGTTAGAACAGATCTACAGAAACTTGTGCTGGTCTAGACCATGAGGATTCCAGGTTAGAATCGATCTACAGCAACCTGTGCTGGTCTATACTGTGGGGATTCCAGGTTAGAACAGATCTACAGCAACCTGTGCTAGTCTACACTGTGGCGATTCCAGGTTAGAACAGATCTACATCAACCGATGCTGGTCTACACCGTGGGGATTCCAGATTAGAACCGATTTACAGCAACCTGTGCTGGTTTACACTGTGGGGAGTCCAGGTTAGAACAGATCTACAGCAATCTGTGCTGGTCTACACTGTGAGGATTCCAGGTTAGAACAGATCTACAGGAACCTGTGCTGGTCTACACTGTGGGGATTCCAGGTTAGAACAGATCTACATCAACCGATGCTGGTCTACACCGTGGGGATTCCAGATTAGAACCGATCTACAGCAACCTGTGCTGGTCTACACTGTGGGGATTCCAGGTTAGAACAGATCTACAGAAACCTGTGCTGGTCTAGACCATGGGGATTTCAGGTTAGAACAGATCTACAGCAACCTGTGCAGGTCTAGACCGTGGGGATTCAAGGTTAGAACCGATCTACAGCAACTTGTGCTGGTCTAGACCGTGGGGATTCCAGTTTAGAACCGATCTACAGCAACCTGTGCTGGTCTACACTGTGGGGATTCCAGGTTAGAACCGATCTACAGCAACTTGTGCTGGTCTAGACCGTGGGGATTCCAGGTTAGAACAGATCTACAGCAACCTGTGCTGGTCTACACTGTGGGGATTCCAGGTTAGAACAGATCTACAGCAACCTGTGCTGGTCTACACTGTGGGGATTCCAGGTTACAACCAATCTACAGCAACCTGTGCTGGTCTAGACCATGGGGATTCCAGGTTAGAACAGATCTACAGCAACCTTTGCTGGTCTACACTGTGGTGATTCTAGGTTAGAACAGATCTACATCAACCGATGCTGGTCTAGACCATGGGGATTCCAGGTTTGAACAGATCTACAGCAACTTGTGCTTGTCTACACTGTGGGGATTGCAGGTTAGAACAGATCTACAGCATCCTGTGCTGGTCTACACCGTGGGGATTCCAGGTTAGAACAGATCTACGGCAACCTGTGCTGGTCTAGACCATGGGGATTCCAGGTTAGAACCGATCTACAGCAACCTGTGTTGGTCTAGACCGTGGGGATTCCAGGTTAGAACAGATCAACAGCAACCTGTGCTGGTCTACACTGTGGGGATTCCAGGTTAGAACAGATCTACAGCAACCTGTGCAGGTCTAGACCGTGGGAATCCAGGTTAGAACAGATCTACAGCAACTGATGCTGGTCTAGACCGTGGGGATTCCAGGTTAGAACCGATCTACATCAACTGATGCTGGTCTACACTGTGGGGATTCCAGGTTAGAACCGATCTACAGCAACCTGTGCTGGTCTACACCGTGGGGAGTCCAGGTTAGAACAGATCTACAGCAACCTGTGCTGGTCTAGACTGTGGGGAGTCCAGGTTAGAACCGATCTACAGCAACCTGTGCTGGTCTAGACCATGAGGATTCCAGGTTAGAACCGATCTACAGCAACCTGTGCTGGTCTAGACCCTGGGGATTTCAGGTTAGAGCAGATCTACAGCAACCGATGCTGGTCATATGAGGTGACTTAATGGATTGGGTGGTAGCGCATTGGTTGATTTAAGTGTCATCGTACCCCGTCAGTGTGGATCATTGCTTATGATTTCAGTCTGATCCAGACTCTTTTATTTACAAGCTGCATCACATAGCTGGGATATTGCTGGGAGCAGCATTAAACAACACAAAAAAATAAAACAAATTCTTGCAATGTAAAACCATGATATTATTCACTGTACGTATTTGACTCTCCTGGCAAAGTTTAGCCTTGGCATTCTCCACCCCTTTGTCCCTATATAAAAGTAATAATCTTGAATGCGACTTTAAACCCCATTTCACCTCACCATGACTCAAGATGGACAGAAAGAATAACGGACATTTTCTAATTTGTAAATATAACAATTTATTCATCTCTTACCATGGAAATATACATCCTGCAACAAGTCAATGTATGTACAATTGCATGTTAAAGTGTATGCACATAGAGCTGTCAAATCAAAAACGATCATTACGCAGTGGATTCTCACAACTTGCTGATAATTGTATAATCAACCTTGAAGACTTTCTTGATTCGCCTCAGAACCAAAAACCAACTTTCCTGGCATTGAAATGTCTGAATATCTGATAGGAATGACATGTTTATTCAAGTGGAGGTCATCCTTTGCAAACATATTTTTTCTGGCATTTGTAATCTGAGGTACCGTATTCGACGTAATAAGCGCCCTGCTCTAATAAGCGCCCACGGCGATATTTGCTAATATATTGGCTTGTGAACAATCCCAATTAGCACCCCTTCCGATTGATCGATGTACACAAGACTTATTTATGCACCCTTAATTATGGGCAATTAAATTCTGGAAAAATACATCGGTCGAATATAAACATTTCAGGCTGAAATTTATCTTTCAACTCTTATTTTTTTCACCAAACCAATATTCTAATAAGAGCCCCCTATTTCTAATTTTGAGAGCGCCCTGGGCGCTTATTACATCGAATACGGTAATATAGTACTTGGGTAAAGGCACAAAATCAACCAGTCTGTTTATGATAGAGAGTGTTGTGTCATGTCTCCAAATAATAAAGGTGCAAGAGTGAAAAAAATTCAACTGCTTGAGGATCTCTTGTTTTCACCTTTTAAACAGTGAGCACTTATTTATTCTGGTGTTGGGAGTTTTCCTCTTCAGGTAGTGGCCCCAACCATGAATTGATTATGCTTGATACTGGAAAACGGCGGCTGCTCCCATGCCGGTGCCAATACACATGGACACCACACCATAGGCCCTGAAACATTCACCACATAGAATGCACAAGACACCACACCATAGGCCCTGAAACATTCATCACATAGAATGCACAAGACACCACACCATAGGCCCTGAAACATTCACCACGTAGAATGCACAAGACACCACACCAAAGGCCCTGAAACATTCATCACATAGAATGCACAAGAAACCACACCATAAGCCCTGAAACATTCACCACGTAGAATGCACAAGACACCACACCATAGGCCCTGAAACATTCACCACGTAGGATTCACAAGACACCACACCATAGGCCCTGAAACATTTACCACATAGAATGCACAAGACACCACACCATAGGCCCTGAAACATTCATCACGTAGAATGCACAAGACACCACACCATAGGCCCTGAAACATTCATCACGTAGAATGCACAAGACACCACACCATAGGCCCTGAAACATTCACCACATAGAATGCACAAGACACCACACCATAGGCCCTGAAACATTCATCACATAGAATGCACAAGACACCACACCATAGGCCCTGAAACATTCACCACGTAGAATGCACAAGACACCACACCATAGGCCCTGAAACATTCACCACGTAGAATGCACAAGACACCACACCATAGGCCCTGAAACATTCACCACATATCCACAGGACACCACAACTGTTTGGTGAAACATTTTGTGTGGCCTTAAGACCTACATCGTGTCAGACTCGGGACCGTTAGGCTTGGTGACTGGTCCAACGAACTGGTCCAAGTGTCATGTGACAAGTGACTTCCTGTCGATCCCAATGATGCTATGATGTTTACCGACTCATCTTGGACTTTGCAAGATGGGAACTGACCAACCAGTAGCTACAGCACATTTGTGAGTAATGATACACCACATTCAACACAAGCCCCTGAAGTATTCATGAAGTATTCATGAAGTATTCATGAAGTATTCATGATGTATCCATGATTACAGTAATTCACACATGGATGATCTTTACAAGCCTCACTAACATCTACCGTAACTTGGTTTGTTTGTTGTTTTTACACCACACCCAGCAATATTCCAACCATATGGCAGCGGTTGTAAGAATAAGTCTAGACCAGACAATCCAGTGGTCAATATTGTGAGCACAGATCCACACCATCAGGGTACAATGACACGCAATCAACCAAGTCACCAAGCCTGACCATCCGATCCATTTCGTGGACTCTAACGACCAGCATAGTTTGCTGGGGACTACCCGAAACCCGGAATCACCCGAAACCCGGAATCACCCGAAACCCGGAATCACCGTGGAGAGCCATTACTTACGGTTTGCCTCTTCTCTTGAGCTCATGCAACAACGTCCCGATCTGACGGGCGCCTGTACAGCCGAGGGGGTGCCCCAGGGCGACGGCGCCACCCTTAGGGTTGACCTTCTCAAGGGGGATACCCAGCTTCTCCATGCAGTACACGGCCTGGCTGGCAAACGCCTCGTTGATCTCGAAGATGTCGATATCGCTGACTGTCAGCCCTGTAGTGATTGACAGTAAATACAGACACAAGCTATGGTGGAATGTGTAGGACGGTGATGCCGTCAGCCAAGTGTGTGTTATTTCGGGTGCAACAGAGGATCATTTATTAGGTGAGGTGAGGTGAAATGGGGTTTAACGTCGCGTCCAAGATCATATAGCGATGTGTATGCACGTGTGTTGTCTGCATGTACTGGTCCGGACTGATGCTGATTTAATAATGCTAGCTCACTGAGATACCATGCCGCAGGTTAACATGAATACCCCACTCAGACACAGTATACTGACTCCGAGCCGACCAGTCCTTGTTTTAGCCCCGTGTGCTAGACAGGGTAACAACAAGTATCATCTTTAACGCCTTTTGGTATGACGCGGCCGGGGATCAAAACCCCGGACCTTCCGCTCTTTGGGAGGACGCTCTACCACTAGACCATGGAGGGTGTCTCATTTATTAGGGATGACGTTTACTATCTGGGGAGGGGGCCTGGGATCCACTGTGTATGGATGCTGGAAGAATTCAAATGAAACATACATTTGACACCTGATATTTCTGCCCTGTTAAGAAATACACATAAAATTAATTTTTGGACAGTCCATGTTGGATTTTCTTTACTCTATACTCTATCTTTTCTAAAGAAACATAAGGCATAACACATAGTTTGTAGGTTATTTGCTGTTGGCACTGTGGCCACTCGGGGACTACCATTTTAATACCCGACACCCCACCTGACAACTCACTACTTAGAATCCCCAGATCCACCAAGCCCCAAAGTAAACAAATGTCAAATAAAATTTTAAACAAATACATTTAAAGGTATTTAGATCTAATTATGATAATTATTATATTTACACTGAATATTCAAAAAAATAAGTATTTAATAATTTAATTATTTCCAATAAAATCACTCTGTTTTACTATTATTTCATCTGCCCAACAATTATGTTATGAGATGACAAGAGTGACACAATTTTATGGATAACAACTTCTTTAATACTGTAATACAGTTGATGATATGGTCCGAGATGGCTGATTTGCCATCTCGGACCATATCATCAACTGTCCCAATCACATCATCAACTGGGACAACGTCCAAATCCTCGCCAACAACCTCCATGATTTCACCAAAAGAAAACTAACAGAAGCAGTCCACATTCGCCGCCACAACCCATCAATCAACAGAGATCAAGGCTATTTCATCCCATCCGCCTACTATGAACTCATCAAACAATAATCACCTGTTTATTGGCTTCATCCCCATTGGCTTCTAGCTATGTGTTTTCTGTCCATCGTGTTGTGATAGCATCATCCTTGTTGTCACACCTACCTATGTTATCCCACTCATGTATGCCCTTGTTGTTACTGTTAATCCTCTACTGTTAATCCTCCACTTGCTATATATATTCTGCACTATGTCCCTCATTCAGTCTTGCTTGACAACGGTATAAGGATCTATACCGAAACGTCGCTTTTTACAGTATTAAAGAAGTTGTTATCCATAAAATTGTGTCACTCTTGTCATCCGCCAACTTCTAAGTAATGCCTATCAAACAAGTTATGTTATGAGATCTTTTCCAAACAATTTTGATTTGATCTTTATTTCAACCACAGACCCTACAGTTTGAGGTTTTTGTTACCTTGTAAATAGGACAAGAGGTCTGATAATAATGGTCCTACCTGCTTTCTTGAGAGCGGACGGGATGGCCACCGACGGACCGATCCCCATGATGTCAGGAGGACATCCTTCCACAGCGTAGGACTTGAGGACACCCAGTATTGGCCATCGCCTCCGCTCCGCCTCGGACCGGCGCGCCAACAGCACCGCTGCCGCACCATCGCTCACCTGGCTAGAGTTGCCTGTCGGGGAACACACTCCAGTCAACACAAGGCGATCGTAACTCCCATACCATAAGGTATACTTACAGTAGCCATACTTACAGTAGTCTTACAGTAGCCATACTAACAGTAGCCATACTTACAGTAGTCTTAGAATTTGCATGTCGTAACTTTCATACTTTAACATAGACTGATGGTTCCCCCTCTCCCCCCCCTCCTTCCTAAACATACCAGCGGTGGTAGATCCCCCTTTCTAAACATACCAGCGGTGGTAGATCCCCCTTCCTAAACATACCAGCGGTGGTAGATCCCCCTTCCTAAACATACCAGCGGTGGTGGATCCCCCTTCCTAAACATACCAGTGGTGGTAGATCCCCCTTCCTAAACATACCAGTGGTGGTAGATCCCCCTTCCTAAACATACCAGCGGTGGTAGATCCCCCTTTCTAAACATACCAGCGGTGGTGGATCCCCCTTCCTAAACATACCAGTGGTGGTAGATCCCCCTTCCTAAACATACCAGTGGTGGTAGATCCCCAGTCCTAAACATACCAGCGGTGGTAGATCCCCCTTTCTAAACATACCAGCGGTGGTAGATCCCCCTTTCTAAACATACCAGCGGTGGTAGATCCCCCTTTCTAAACATACCAGCGGTGGTAGATCCCCCTTCCTAAACATACCAGCGGTGGTAGATCCCCCTTCCTAAACATACCAGTGGTGGTAGATCCCTCTTTCTAAACATACCAGCGGTGGTGGATCCCCCTTCCTAAACATACCAGCGGTGGTGGATCCCCCTTTCTAAACATACCAGCGGTGGTAGATCCCCCTTCCTAAACATACCAGCGGTGGTAGATCCCCCTTCCTAAACATACCAGCGGTGGTGGATCCCCCTTCCTAAACATACCAGCGGTGGTAGATCCCCCTTCCTAAACGTACCAGCGGTGGTAGATCCCCCTTCCTAAACATACCAGCGGTGGCAGATCCCCCTTTCTAAACATACCAGCGGTGGTAGATCCCCCTTCCTAAACATACCAGCGGTGGCAGATCCCCCTTTCTAAACATACCAGCGGTGGTAGATCCCCCTTCCTAAACATACCAGCGGTGGTGGATCCCCCTTTCTAAACATACCAGCGGTGGTAGATCCCCAGTCCTAAACATACCAGCGGTGGTAGATCCCCAGTCCTAAACATACCAGCGGTGGTAGATCCCCAGTCCTAAACATACCAGCGGTGGTGGATCCCCCTTTCTAAACATACCAGTGGTGGTAGATCCCCCTTCCTAAACATACCAGCGGTGGTAGATCCCCCTTCCTAAACATACCAGCGGTGGTAGATCCCTAGTCCTAAACATACCAGCGGTGGTAGATCCCCCTTTCTAAACATACGAGCGGTGGTAGATCCCCCTTTCTAAACATACCAGCGGTGGTAGATCCCCCTTTCTAAACATACCAGCGGTGGTAGATCCCCCTTTCTAAACATACCAGCGGTGGTAGATCCCCCTTTCTAAACATACCAGGGGTGGTAGATCCCCCTTTCTAAACATACCAGCGGTGGTAGATCCCCCTTTCTAAACATACCAGCGGTGGTAGATCCCCCTTTCTAAACATACCAGCGGTGGTAGATCCCCCTTTCTAAACATACCAGCGGTGGTAGATCCCCCTTTCTAAACATACCAGCGGTGGTAGATCCCCCTTCTTTGAAGGCAGGGCGGAGTCTCCCGAGCCCCTCCATTGTGGTGCTTGGCCTGATACCGTCGTCCTTGGTTACCTACAGCAGAGAAATCTGCATTATTCATAATATATAATATTCAACCTTAGTATAAACAAAACGTTATGTAGTTCACTTGCAAAACTATTGTTCCATCAATATTGATCTTCTTGTACAGTGTCTCAGCCCCTACTTTCACCAACATTTGGAAATATGTGACAGTTAGGGTTTAAAGATTATTCAATAGATAGGCTCTATTTTCATTTTTTTTTTTTAAATGTAATAAATTTCACTGCTGCAAGTACCCTATTACAGGTGTAATAACCCTGAAGAGTACATTACAGATTTGGTCCTGTTGCCTACTATACAGGTTCTCGTTTCTTTAACTTCAGTGGTGTTGTAACACTTCATTCAAGCACTCGCTGTGCAGAGTTGCGTCCCTTGGGCATGCCAGAAACCGATGATTGTGGGTTCGAATCCCTGTCCCTGTTATGTTTCTAGGTTTTTCAGCTTCATACCCATGCTCGTGGGTTTCACCGAAGTGGTAAATGTCTGAGACCTGCATCACTTCGGGCTTTCCTCCCACATTAAGCTGACACGCAGTGATATAACTGGAATACTGTTAAAAGCGGCGTTAAACCCAACTCACTCACTCATTCAATGCACAAAGGTCAAGTTCAGCCTCTTCCTCTCATTGGCCCTGATAACAGTGAAGTACAAGTCACCTTGACCAAGACCTGACATCAGTAATAACTATTGTAACATGAATAAGGAAATGTTTTCTTCCCATGCGGGAAGTTTTACTGACATTTGCTGCGGATTGAATATCTGAGCTGGTCTACACAAATCTATGTTTGTTTGTTTGTTTGTTGTTTAATGCAGCATTCAGCAATGTTCCAGTTATATAATCGAGTCTGGACCAGATAAATTAGTGATTGATAACATGAACATCGATCCACGCAAAAGGGATACAATGACATGCATCAACCAAGTCATCACACCTGACCACCTGATCCCGTCAGTCGCCTCTTACGACAAGCATGGTCACCTTTTACGGCAAGCATGGGTTGCTGAAGACCAATCCTAACCCTGATCTTCACGGGTATATAAATTCCCTGTATCACCTTCAGGAACAGCCCCCGCCTGGCTCTGACAGTCAACATGAGCACCTACCGTGATGGTCCTCTCGTTCCCATCCTTATCTACAATCTTGGTCGTCACGGGAACCAGCTCCGCATCATACAATCCCGACACAGCCGCCTTGTGGGCACTGCAACAAACAGCACACTGTAACCATGGCAACACTCATAGTGTATGGGACCTTGAGGGTCCTTAAAACATTACAACATGGTACTTGCTGTTACCCTGCCTGGTGCTCGGCATTAATGGGATAAATAAGGAGTGTTCAGCTAGGAGTCGGTAAACTGTGTCCGAGTGGGGTATCCAAATTTTGCAAATTGTATCCATGTGAGAAACAAACCCAGGCGTTGGGAGTGACAAGTCAGCGTCTTAACCACTGGGCTGTAATGGAGTGGGTGAGTATGGTTTTACGCCGCTTTTAGCAATATTCCAGCAACAACACGGCGGTGGACACCAGAAATGGGCTTCACACATTGTACCCATGTCGGGAATCGAACCCATGTCAGGAATCGAACCCGGGTCTTCAGCGTGACGAGCGAACGCTTTAACCACTAGGCTACCCGACCGCCCCGGGCTGTAATGGAACAATGGAGGACATCCTAACAGTTTTCTGAGACATGTGTCATGGTTACAACACATTATGTGATATTCTCATTGTCTATTCAAAAATACTTACTTTTGGTGTGATCGCAACGAGAACCTGTCTTGTTTTTCCCTCGATACTCCGAACCTTTCAGCAACATTCTCCGACGTGATACTGAAACAATTACAGAAATCACAGGTATACAATTATGTTTAAAATACACAAACTGTTCCCCAACACAACACTACATACACCTGTGATGCATCCGCTCAATGACAGCTAGCTCAGTGAGTGAGTGAGTGAGTGAGTGAGTGGGTGGGTGGGTGGGCGAGTCGGTGGGTGGCTGAGTGAGTGAGTGAGTGAGTGAGTGAGTTGGGTTTGAACAGTGACAAACCAAATTTGGGCACACATGAAGAATTCAACACTTTAGACAATATGGCCACCCATGCCCTCTGAATTTAAGACATCTGAACATATACCAAGGAGGATGTGAATCGTAGGATCCTGGCATGCAATACCCCTGTACACTGACACGTTGCAGCCGAGATGACTGTGCCCCCTGTGTGCCCCCTGTGTGTGCTCTTGTGTTCCCCTGTGTGTGCTCCTGTGTTCCCCTGTGTGTGCTCCTGTGTGTCCCCTGTGTGTCCCCTGTGTGTGCTCCTGTGTGTGCTCCTGTGTGTGCTCCTGTGCCCCCTGTGTGCCCCCTGTGTGTGCTCTTGTGTTCCCCTGTGTGCTCCTGTGCCCCCTGTGTGCCCCCTGTGTGTGCTCTTGTGTGCCCCCTGTGTGTGCTCTTGTGTGCCCCCTGTGTGTGCTCTTGTGTTCCCCTGTGTGTGCTCCTGTGTTCCCCTGTGTGTGCTCTTGTGTTCCCCTGTGTGTTCCCCTGTGTGTTCCCCTGTGTGTGCTCCTGTGTGTTCCCCTGTGTGCCCCCTGTGTGCCCCGTGTGTGCTCTTGTGTTCCCCTGTGTGTGCTCCTGTGCCCCCTGTGTGTGCCCCCTGTGTGTGCCCCCTGTGTGTGCTCCTTTGTTCCCCTGTGTGTGCTCCTGTGTCCCCCTGTGTGTTCCCTGTGTGTGCTCCTGTGTTCCCCTGTGTGTTCCCCTGTGTGCCCCCTGTGTGTGCTCTTGTGTTCCCCTGTGTGTGCTCCTGTGTCCCCCTGTGTGTTCCCCTGTGTGCCCCCTGTGTGTCCCCCTGTGTGTTCCCCTGTGTGTGCTCTTGTGTGCCCCCCTGCGCTCCCCTGTGTGCCCCTGTGTGGCCCTGCAGAGATCAGACTGACAGTGTCACATGCTGGAAGTTTGTTCTCTTCACACATACTGGCTTCTGGCTGTGTATGTGTTGCGCCACCTTTATGAGTGAATGCTATTTAACGCCACACTCAGCAATACGCCAGATATATCACTGCAGCTTGTAAACAGTCCAGTCTGGACCAGACAATCCAGTGCTTTGCATTTAGATCGTCATATTTGAAATTGTATTTTCTCAACAATCAATTATATTGATTACATTCATTCCCTGGAACACACAGTGTCTTCAATGACCGACGTATCACACTTACCCCATTGGGATGAGGCACTGGGCTGCCTTCTCGTCTTCAAACACATGAGGGTTGAGGTCCATCCCCTTCCGCAGCATTTCATTCTTCGTCATAGACTCAACTCTGAAACACATCACCAGGAATCAAGGATTTGTTAGGACTTATGGGCCACCTGAGAATTCTTATAAACCATTGTAAAATAATTCATGACCCTCTCCAAATGTTAACCCCTTGTTCCTCCACCCTTCCGTCAGGAGGTAAAGCCTGAATAGGCTCACAGGCAATGCAATAAAAAATTTAAAAAGGTTGTCGTAAAAAACAAATTATTTTCTTATTGATTATTTGTTGTTACAATTTCAACATTCCACATGTTTCAGGTGTCTCTGAATTCGTAATGTGACCTTCCTCAAAGGTCAAATTTAACTTTTCATGACCTTCACCTACACACATCATATTTGTGTCTGTCTGTCTGTCTGTCTGTCTGATGTTCTCAACCACAGGAAGGAAGCACTTACCCTGCAGCCAGACCCACATCACACTGCCCGTTCCGGATACTCCCTGTAAAGTCAAACATTCATGTGCCATTAACAGTCAAACATTCATCTCTCACTAACAGTCAAATATCCATCTCTCATTACACATCTTCCTGAGGCAAGAGAGTTAACTGACTTTAAAAGTCCAGTTTCCACCCTTGCCGAACTAGGCTGGTATTATTGAGTTACATTTTGGCTGGACTAACAAGTCTATGCATAGTCCAATCAAAATCGTGCAACGAAATCAAAATCTGGTTCATAAAATGTCATGCAGATTTCAGTTGATTGCAGGATTTGCAAAGCATGTGCACCGCCAACTCGTTGTCAACAGATATTTTACAAACCTTTAATGTTTTTAATCAAGGTCCTCACGTGATTTGATGCACTACGCAATGTAAGACAATATATAGATCTTGATTTTCCATCAGATCGTCTTGACTGGGTGCCGCCATTTTGTTTGAAACAAATGCAAGTGATGGAATCGGATTGGTCCATAGGAGAGGCATACAAGGGACATAACTCATAATAACCACTGGTGGCGCTACAGTCAAGCCCAGGAATTTCAGCCTAGTTTGGCAAGGGTGGAAACTGGACTTTTACAGTCAGTTAACTCTCTTGCCTCGGGAAGATGTCATTACATTAAGTCAAACATTCATCTCTTATAAAATTAAGTCAAATATTTATCTCTCATTAAATTAATAGTCAAACATTCATCTCTCATTAATAGTCAAACATTCATCTCACTAATTGTCAAACATTCATCTCTCATTAATAGTCAAACATTCATCTATCACTAATAGTCAAACATTCATCTCTCATTAATAGTCAAACATTCATCTCTTACTAATAGTCAAACATTCATCTCATTAAAAGTCAAACATTCATCTCTCATTAATAGTCAAACATTCATGTCTCACTAATAGTCAAACATTCATCTCTCATTAATAGTCAAACATTCATCTCTCATTAATAGTCAAACATTCATGTCTCACTAATAGTCAAACATTCATCTCTCATTAATAGTCAAACATTCATCTCTCATTAATAGTCAAACATTCATCTCTCACTAATAGTCAAACATCCTTCTCTCACTAATAGTCAAACATTCACATCTAGGTATAGAGTGGGTTTGTCACCTGCCACGTTCATGAAGGCCTGCAGTCCTGATGAGCACTGCCTGTTGGTCGACGTGCATGGCACAGTTTCGGGAATACCACTGCAAGTCAAGAAAACGCAGGATGAACACCTCATCAAACTGAGGTCTGTCAGTCAAATCTACACGTGAACAATGGTTCTGGAACTCACCTGTAAAAGTGTGTATCTGCCCCTACAGCTCATCTCTACCTGTGAAACTCACCTGTATAACTTTCCACTAAGTCTACCTGTGAACACCTTCCCGAGGCAAGGGAGTTAACTGACTGTAAAAGTACTGTTTCCACCCTTGCCGAACTAGACTGGAATTTCTGAGGTTGATCGTAGCGCCACCGGTGGCTTTTACAAGTTATGTCCCTTGTATGTCTCTCCTATGGACCAATCAGATTCCACCTTTCATAATCACTTGCATTTGCTTCAAACAAAATGGCGGAACCCCGTCAAGACGATCTGATCGATAATCAAGATACGTATTGTGATAAAATGTGTCTTACCCCACAAAGTGCATCAAATCACTTGAGCACCTTGATTAAAAACATGAAAAGTTTTGTAAAATATCTGTCGACACGCCCAGTTGACGTTATTTATGCTTTGCAAACCCTTCAGTCAACTAAAATCAATGTTGTTTACGCGATTTTGATTGGACTATGCATAAACTCTTTAGTCCAATCAAAATGTAACTCCAGAATTCCAGCCTAGTTTGGCAAGGGTGGGAACTGGACTTTTATATTCAGCTAACGCCCTTGCCTCGGGAAGATGACCTGTGGAACTCACCTGTAAAACTGAGCGAATCTGGCCGTGTTGCACCCCGGCTCCAGCACTGTGCCTGAAGTAGGAAAGCTGGCTATAACTGATGCAAACAGCAAGCTGGCCAAACAAAGAGCGGTACTTCTTCCAAGTTTTCAAAGTGACACACACACAGTAGCACACATAGTTTGACTATCTATGAAGAGATACATGCAACCAGGCCTCCAAGTTTAATTTTTCACAGAGAAGCCATATGGCTACAAGTACTTTTTTCCAGGTAACCAGTAGGAATAACAAAAAGTCAAGCCAATATTGTAGGTAGCCAAAAGCATTTGAAATTATCTTGTATCATAACATGTACAAGTCATTGCACTAGTCTTTGAATTGTATATTAGTTGAAACTGTACTTGATTTTTGTTATTTGTGACTTGAACAATGATGCAATGTATGTTACTAGATTATGTAGGTCTATCCTTGCTTATCCGGTGAGCATTGTCAACTAAAATGAAACACTAATAAAATTAATATTTATGTACTTCGGTTTGTTGTCGACATTAGGAGAAATTAATCACAAGTACAACTATTAGCATGATCCTAGATCAACTGTTATTTATTTTCGTGTCTACAGATGTGTAGCAATAGAATTTAGTCGCCACAAGATATTTTTCAAGGTAGTCATTTGGCTACCTCTGAATTTTAGAAAGTAGACATATTGAAATTTAGGTCGCATTGGCGACCGTTTTAGTCACAACTTTGAGGCCTGGCAACACCTTGATCTGATTTTGCTGGCGACAAAAGGCATCAGGACATTTTCATGACTTTCATGATTTCATCAATTTTTGATTGGACATTCTTCTACATCATTTCCAAATTTGAAAAATGTCTTAGGACAGTTTGAACGACTGAAACCCTGATATGTTATTTCTTCCCCTGTTTCCACGTACCAACACATATATCGCCGATGTCAGCAGGATTCACCCCCACGTCCTTTATCACGGCCTTGAACACGTGTGACAGCAGAGTATCTGCATAAGTGTCCTGAAATTACAGGTTTAGTTATATCAAATACATCATCAACACCTGAACTCGAAAAGTTGATAAATTATAAGTGGCGATTAATTGAAATTCTTTTTTAAAAAACAACATTTTTGTGTGGATAATAAATCTTCCTCAACATAACATTCATCATATATTTTATATCTAGCAGTTATTTATTATATGTAAAAACATGTATGTTTATGAAGTCGAGATAATTAAACATCGACGATAAGATTGATCTTTTTAGAAACATTTCCTTGTAGCTTGAGTGAGCAAACACTTAAAACTTAAAGCATTCTTGGGGTTGTAGTATAAAAAGGAAGCTGTCCATTCTGCAAATCACCGACAACAATCTCCCCAGTGACTTGGCATTTTCATGATTAACAGTAAAACGAATCATACAAAAATTTAACCTTAAATGACCCTCTCTTTGCTTTTCCTATCGGAGTTCTCAAGGCTTGTACAACAACGATGTCGTCTGAGGGACTTGCTGACGCTGCCACATCGTGTGTCGTCACCGATGAGCTCAAATGGCCAAACACTACGTTCAGACGATCCATGATTTCTGCGTACACCGAGTCTGCACTCTGAACCCAAGCAAAGTCCAAGGACATGGGGGAATCCCCGTGTGACGAACGGGAAATCCTGGTGACGTCACATGATCAAGAACGAGGCTCTGTGGGATTATGGGACAAGTATCGTCACAACTTTACGGCCTTGTCTGAATCACTCTGTAGTGTATTGACAATGATCTTGCAACTGTGTTTATTCCACATAAACATTGTATTTTGCCTGATACATGAAAAATGTTGATTTATTTGTCATAAAAACAGAAACACGCAAGCTTACATTCTCTCGGAATCGGAAGTGATGGACTTTTACAAACCAATATTTAATTTAATTCTGTTGGTTATTACTTATCAAATAAATTGGAAATCACGTATTAATTAGCTGTTCCAAAATAACTTTCAGCTATGGAAACTTGAACTAAAATTGAGTAAATCAATACTTCGTAAAGATCAGACTAATTTATTTCAAAATAGTTCATATTTTATTAGTACATATTTTCATGATGAACAATGCAAGAGCTCTTCAATCTTAATAAACATAGGCTACAGTTCATCATTTATACATGCCAGTATCTTTTATTTCTAATTGACATTTTAAGCATGAAGTGACTGGTACAACTTCAAAGCAAAATATATATATACAGTATATATTGATGAGTTTCTGGACAGTCAGTTTTCATTAAATTTACAAAAGAATTTAATGATTTTTTTTTCAATAAAGAGCATTAATATACTTAATTCCTAAATCATGAACTGCTGGACAGACCAATAAAAAGTGAAAGTCGTTTTCAACATAATCATTGCCATATTTAAAACAATAAGTACAAATTCGGGATTCAACATCAATACCTGATCTGCGTCCAATTTCAATCATCAAGTTGTGACACCCGTTTCAAAATCTCGACAGAGCTTGTCTAATATTTGATTTATACATGACCGATACAATTCCACATTCACTGTGGATTTGTAAGCTACATGAGCTGTTATTTTAGAATTTCTTTCTGCTTAAGTTTGCCAGTTTTGTCTATCAACTTCTGCTAATTGTTGTTTTAATTAAGATTAAAAATACTAGTATCACCAACATCCTGAACAATCCATATGTTTCCATATAAGTATTTAAACCAAATGTTTTTTACATAGAGTATCTAGAGTACATGGAGTATCCCCCCACCAACAACATGTTGTTATATATTTCCTCTCAACACCCAGTAGATGAAAGGGGAACTCTGTGCGTTTTTATAAGTTCATAATCCTTTGAAAAAAATAGTTGTGTTCATTCATACTCAAGCTATTGTTATTCACACCCCACGAGCAGCTGTAGTGAGCAAGCTATTGTTATCTACACCCCACGAGCAGCTGTAGTGAGCAAGCTATTGTTATCTACACCCCACGAGCAGCTGTAGTGAGCAAGCTATTGTTATCTACATCCCACGAGCAGCTGTAGTGAGCAAGCTATTGTTATCTACACCCCACGAGCAGCTGTAGTGAGCAAGCTAGTTATGGAAGAGAGAACCGTTTAGTTGAGACGCGCCGCCGTTTTACCCTTGCTGCCGCTGGGTTCAGTACAAGACACCTGTGTTGATGCCTTGGATGAAACGCCAAATCTTCCCCAAGCCATCCCCTTCAATGATTATATGTGTGCGTGAGTTGGGTTTAATGCCGCTTTTAACAGTATTCCAGTTATATCGCGGCGTGTCAGCTTAATGTGGGAGGAAAGCCCGAAGCGATTCAGGTCTCAGATGTTTACCACTTCGGTGAAACCACGAGCACGGGTATGGTGCTGATAAACCTAGAAACATAATCGGAGCGAACCGGGATTTGAACCCACAATCATAGGTTTCTGGCGTACCACGGGACGCAACTCTGCACAGCGAATTTCGGCGCCTTAGACGACTGGGCTACCAGTGCCCCCTCGTCAATTACGAGTGTGACACCGAATCCCGGGACCCTTGGGTCGACTGCAACACCGGCCGTATGTCTTTTTCCCTATACCAGTACAAACGTTCAGTTTCATACATGATGTTGCATTCACAGAAGTACGTACTATATTTTGATTGGACAATATAAGCAAGCCCTGTCATTTCTAACTGACAGGGGGCGGTCGGGTAGCCTAGTGGTTAAAGCGTTCGCTCGTCACGCCGAAGTCCCGGGTTCGATTCCCGACATGGGTACAATGTGTGAAGCCCATTTCTGGTGTCCCCCGCCGTGATATTGCTGGAATATTGCTAAAAGCGGCGTAAAACCATACTCGCTCGCTCGCTCTAACTGACAGACGAGTTCGTATCTTGGGAACGTCCATATGTTTGCCCACAGTCTGACTCAACATCCCCGGCAACCAAAAGCAAAGTCACTGAGAAAAACCGTAAAAATCACAGGTAACGTGAAATGAAATGAGTGAGTGTGAGTGAGTTTGGTTTTACGCCGCTTTTAGCAATATTCCAGCAATATCACGGCGGGGGACACCAGAAATGGGCTTCACACATTGTACCCATGTCGGGATTCGAACCCGGGTCTTCAGCGTGACGAGCGAACGCTTTAACCACTAGGCTACCCGACCGCCCCTGAAATGAAATGAGGTTTCATGTATTATTGCACGAGTGTGTGGCTGCTTGTACTAGTCCGGATTCGAACCCACGATGATATATGTTTCTGGCAAACCTTAGAAGTGCATCTGTACATGGACTTGCGATGTCCTAGACGACTGGCCCGCCCGTGTCTGTCCAGCGTTGATAAGGTCAGTTGAGGTGAAATGAGGTGGCGTGGTTTTACTTGTCCGGACTCCTGCTGGTTTTATCGTGCTACCCCACATACCATGCCGCTTTTTAACATGAATACCCCACTCAGACACAGTATGCTGACGCACGCCGACCAGTCCTTGTTTTATCCGTTAATAATTGCCGAACGCCAGGCAGGGTAACAACAGGTACCATCTTTCAACGTCGTTTGGTGTGACGTGGCCAGATGGTGATCGAACCACCTACCTGCCGCTCCCAGGGCAGATGTTCTATCAACCACGGAGGCGGTCGATAGTGTGACAGAAAAAAAGTTTCAAGTGATTAATATGTGTTTTTTTTATGAAAAGATACACAAAGTTTTAGCTCACCTTGAAGTGAAGTCGTCCGTCGTTTGTCCATTCATCCATCCAATCGAGCGTCGGAGAAGCCTAGTGGTTAGAGTGTTCGCTCGTCACGCCGAAGACCCGGGTTCGATTCCCCACATGGGTACACTGTATGAAGCCCAACAGCCCATTTCTGTCCTTAAGTTCACTGGCTGTCCCATTGTTGGCTTGTAGGGGTACGGATGGCCCTGTAGGGGTACGGATTGCCCTGTAGGGGACATGGATAGCCCTGTAGGGGGTACGGATGGCCCTGTAGGGGGTACGGATAGCCCTGTAGTGGTACGGATGGCCCTGTAGGGGGTACGGATAGCCCTGTGAGGGTGGGGGTGGCCCTGTGAGGGTACGGATGGCCCTGTATGGGTACGGATGGCCATGTAGGGGGTACGGATGGCCCTGTAGGGGGTACGGATAGCCCTTTTGGGGTACGGATGGCCCTGTATGGGTACGGATGGCCATGTAGGGGGTACGGATGGCCCTGTAGGGGGTACGGATAGCCCTGTAGGGGTACGGATGGCCCTGTAGGGGGTACGGATAGCCCTGTATGGGTACGGATGGCCATGTAGGGGGTACGGATAGCCATCTTGCCACGGTTACAGAGGAGACTCCAGATTGCCCGAGTGTACTTCCTGGTGTAGAGTGTGGTATTGTGTATCTCCATGAATTCTTGAATGCTAAAGTTTGGTATCGCCCTACTCTTCCGGTAGGATGTGTATCGTTTTTACTAAGCAATGACTTGAAATGCCCAGAATTTAAACATTTAGCTATGAGAGTTTCAAGACGTTTTCCTGCTGCTGCTATGACTGAAGGTATGGCCATGAAAGTCTCCTCTGAGGATTTAAGGACAAAATGAGAATGATTTCATTTAACTTTGAAGACACTTTTTACAGTCATCTTGGTTCTAACCATTCTTGTTTTAGTTATTCACTCGCTTAAAGGGCAATTTCTGAGGAATAGTTAATACGTATATGTTTGTTATCTTAAAATATGACAAATGAAACCTAAATACGAAGGTGCATAATCAACACATAGATATATGCGGAGAAAGCATGTGACCAAGATTCAACTGTCGGGTTCAGTGCCAGTGGTTTTCTGTTAAACACATAATGTCATTTGAAAAAAAATGATTGATTGTATGCCGCACTCAGCAATATTCCATTCACATGACGGCAGTCTGGTCTGTGAATACTCTGGACAAGAGACTCCAGCTGTTGACATCACGAACATCGACCCACGCATTTGGCATACGATGACATGCAATGAACTGAGTCATAGAGCTGGACCATGTGTTGTCTCTCACTACACGCACAATGTGCTGGGGATCGATTCTCTAAATAGAGTCTCAGAATAGAATGAGTCAAAAGATGAGTTTCATTGGATTTGTTTATTGGAAGCTAATATAAACAATGATAATTATCAATATCAATTTCTATTTGTTTTCAACACCAAAAACCTTATGTAAAAAACACACACCTTTAATTTGTGCCACGCCGTGATATGACTGGAATACTGTTAAAAGCGGCGTTAAACCCAACTCAGTCAGTCAATTTAATTTGTGCACATTTCTGATAAACGACAGGGTGAATTGGACTTTTCCACACCTCTGCCAGACGTTGTCGATTGCAGGTCAATGTAATTAAAAACACATATAAAGTGTGTAACAACCGTTATATGTGAGGTCCCTCAGGAAGCAATGTCGTGTCCTGTAGTCCATAGAAGTAGACACCATGGTCAGTCAGCTTGATCAGATCTTTTATCAGTTCAGGAACAGGAAGCCTGTGCACATCTGTAGGTAAAGAGGGGCCTATGTGTTGTCGTATCCTGATAGAGGCAAGATATGTCAGCGGATGAACACTCGATGCACGTTTTCTGAGATAATTGTGTAATGACTTTCCTTCATGTTTCTGAAACACTGACATTCTTGAATCACAGATCCATCGGAAGTCTCTCCTGATTTCATACCC